TCCCCTGATACTGCCACCACCTTTGTGGAGGCCCTCATCTTCTCATGCCTGGACTATGCTTTGCTGGTCGGTCTACCTGCCATAAGCCTTTCCCCCACTCCAGTCCATCAGCCTTTCAAAGTGATTTGTCAGACCTTTATTCAGTGGATTCCAGTGGGCTCCTTACCACCTCCAGGATGACACACAAAATCCTTTGTTTGGCTTCAAAATCTGCTCCTCTCTGCCTTTCCAGTCTTCTGACACCTGACGCTATCCTCTTCTGCCATACACTTTTTGATCCAGCGACAAAGGCCTTCTTGCTGTTTCTTGAACGATGCCCCGTCCTGACTGGGCATTTTCACTGGTTCTCCCCCATGCATGGAATGCTTTTCTTCCTCATCTCTGCCTCTTGGCTTCCCTGGTTCCCTTCAGGTCCCAGGTAAATCCCATCTTTTTAAGAAGCCTTCCCGAATCCTTCTTAATTCTAGTGCCTTCCCTCTAGTGATTATTTCCTATTTTTCCTGTCTATGGTTTGTTTGTACCTGGTTGTTTCCATGCTGCTTTCCCTCCCCCCACTAGACTGTGACCCCCTCAAGGTCACAAGGAGGTCACAAGGAGGACAAAACTCACGAGCAGCAAAGGTCACAAGTCTTTTGCTTTTTTTCTTTTGTATTCCCTGCCCTTAGCACAGTGCTGGACACGTAGTAATTGTTTAATGAATGTTTATTGACTGACTTTCCTAGTTATATAAAGTAATCTTTTGGTAGTTAATGTAGTGTTAAATTTGTGAATTACTTTAGATAATATTATAATTTTTATGCCCAGCCTAACGGTTTACAATGAATATCTCTCCAATTGTTTGAATCTTCCTTTGCTTCTGTAAAATATTGTATAATTATATTTATGTAAGTCCTAAATGCATCTGGGTAGCTTAAATCCCAGATACTCAATGGATTTTTTTTTAGATATTTTGAATAGAATTTATTTTTGTCTCTCCTGCCAGGAGGGAGGAGGTGGTATCTGTCAGTGTTGTTGCCCAGGGAACGTTGGGAGCCTAGCCAACAGCAAGATGTGGTTGTGTGTCCCAGGACCCACCTTGCATCCAGCAAATAGGCCCAGTAGCACTATGAGCCCTAGACCACCAGAATCATATCAAGGAAGCAGGAAGTGGTGACTGAGGGGGATATGGCCCAGGGGCCTCTGAAAGTCTGGCCAGAAAGCATAAGGTATGAAGGGTTGTGGGTCTCATGTTGAGCAAGCTCAAGACCTGGATGTGCTATGGCCCAGGTAGAAAAAAGAAAAGGGAAAAGTACTGAAATCACCACTAAATAGGTGTATTTTTTATTTTTTGAGGACAATTCATTCCCAGCCCTCTTCCTTTTCTCCTGCCCCACACTCGAATCACTGGGTTTCACCCTTTCTTTCTTCTATTGATGATCGGCTGACTTTGTGTTGTGGTGATTTATTTTGCTTTTAGCTATCCATTTTCCAACCCTATGTGTTCCCTTTCAAATTTCCCTATTCCTTTTTTCAGTTACAGCCCAGTCCCTTGTTCCTTAATTTTTTTTTTTACCTTTTTTAACTTCCTGTTATCTAGCTCAGATGAGAGTGAAGTTCATAAGGTTCCCCCCCCTCATCTCCTCCCTTCATTTGAATACTATTTTCCCATGATTCCCCAGTGATGTGAAATAGTAAGTTTGTCCTTCTTCCTATCCTTTGCTTTCCTGTTTTCCTTCCACATCACTTTTTGTTATATCGTTGATACTGAGAGATGATGGGATTCCTAAGAGACAGTATTTGATTCTTTCAGGATTACACAGTTGACCAACATAAAATCCTTTCAGCTTGTTCACAACTTAAAAAAAAAGTTCTAAGTTTACATTGTCTGTTATGTTTGTCTTCCTGAGGCAGAGTTTCTGTCTGTCACTGGTTCTCTTGACAGGAGTTCTTGGAAGTCAATAATTCTTTTAAAAGGCCATTTTATCTCTTGTAGGATTATACTTAGCTCTATAAATTTAATTGTTCTTGGATCTAGTTTCTTCCTTTACCTCCTAGCATATCATATTTCAATATTTTTATGTTATGAGAAACATCTGATTCTGACAAGACCTGTCTTTTCCTTAACAGTAGCAGTATTTTTTCTTTGATCTAACAGTGTTCTGGAGAATGACAGTCACATTTCTTGAGATGTTAAAGTTGGGATCCTTTTTGATGGTGTTCTACAGATTCCATTTAGTTGTCTTTGTCCTTCTGGTTTCAGCATATATAGATAAAAACCATTTGTTAGATTAAACAGTATAAATATAGTTTCCAAGTTACTTGTGAGCCAGGCTCATTCTTCACATTTTATTTTATTTTTTAAATTCAATTTTATTTTATTTCCAGTTCCAAATTCTGTCTCCCCTCTCCCCTCCCCCACCTATTGAGAAGGTAAGAAAAACAAAACTCATTGCAAACATGAAGTTATGTAAAACAAATTCTTGCATCAGCCATGTCCAAAAAGAAAGAAAAAAATTTGGTTCTGTTTGCAATTTGAGTTCATCACCTCTCTATCTGCAGGTGGATAGCATGTTTCATCATGAATCCTTTGGAATTCTGGTTGGTCATTTTGTTGATCAGAGTTACTAAGAATTATAAAGTTAATTATCTTTACAATATTATTGTTATTGCATAAATTGGTCTTCTGGTTATGCTCTTTTCACTCTGTTTACAAGTTCAGTTCAAACAAGTCTTCCCAAGTTTTTCTGAAACCATCTCCTTCATAATTTCTTACAGCATAATAGTAATCCATTACATTCCTATACTATAAGTTGTATAGCAATTGCACAACTGATAGACATCCTCCTAACTTCTAATCCTTTGCCACCACAAAAAGAACTGCTATAATTTTTTTTGTATATTTAGGTCCTTTTCCCCTTTCTTTGATCTCTTTATGGTATAGGTGTAGTAGCTGTATTGCTGAATCAAGGAGTATACAAAATTCAGTAGCTTTTGGGGCATAATTCCAAATTGCTTTCCAAAATGGTTGAACTAGTTCACAGCTCCTACAATAGAGAATTAGTGTACCTGCTTTCCAAGGGCCCCTCCAGCATTGGTCATTTCCCTTATTCTCACCTTGGCTGATCTGATGGGTATCCCTACCAATCTGATGGTGCTTCAGAGCTGGCATAATTTGTGTCTATCTAATTATTAATGAAAAATCTTTGCAACAAATTTTCTGACAGAGATCTCATTTCTAAGATATATAGGGAACTAAGTCAAATTTATACAAAAAAGAGCTGTTTCCCAATTGATAAATGATCAGAGGATATGAATTGGCGGTTTTCAGGAGAAAAATCCAAGGAATTGAGTAAGACTCATTATTGCCTATTTTTCAAACAGTTTGTGTATTACTGGAATTGTTTTTTAATGTAAATCCATCTGTTCTTTGGGTTTTTTCCTTGGGAATTCATTTGTGGCTTGTTTAATTTTTTTCTCTCTTCTAACAAATAAATATAGTCAAGCAAAAACCCCCGGCACATTGACTACATCTGAATATTATGTCTCATATTGCACTTCTAAACCATAATCTTTTAGCCAAGAAATGGGACACATACTTCATCATCAGTCTTCTGAAGTCACAATTGGTCATTGCATTGATCAGAGTTCTAAGCCTTTCAAATTTACGTTGTTGTAACCATGGTATTAATTTTCTTCAACTTCACTCTGCATCAGCTCATGCAAATGTTCCCAGGTTTCTCTGACCATCATCAGACATAATTTTTCTTATGATGCAATATTTTATTACACTTACATACCATGATTTGTTAAGCCATTCTCCAATTGATGGGCAACTACTTTTATTTCCAGTTCTTTGCTACAAGAAAATGTGCTGTCACAAACATTCACGTATATATGAGTCATTTCCCTTTATCTTTGACATCTCTGTGGTCAGAACTTAGCACAGTGCCTGGCACATAATTGATGTTTAATAAATGTTTATTCATTGATTGATTTACGTAGTAGTAATATCCCTAATTTGCTCATTCCAGTGTTTAATAGATTATCTCCTCCAGGGTAGGTTGGGATTTGGGGTTGGAATTAGATGGGCTCAAGAGGATCTTTGTTCCTAGACTGGTGTGCTGTGGAAAAGAAATCATTCTAATCTCAGGATGAGAGAAATTGAGATACCAGTAAATTGGACTTTCTCAAAATTGTTTTCCTAGCTGCTGGACTGGACAGGGATAGATCTCTGTTTTGTTGTCTGATAGTTTACTTTTGCTGAAGGGAAGATATGATAAGTCCTTCCTAGCTTATCTTGTGACATGCAGCCTTATGGGGCACACAACTAGAATGGTTAGGAAAAGAGAATCGTGGTCAGTAAGACAAAACAATGGAAATAATAGAATGAAGAGAACAGGAAATATTTTGGATTAAATAAAAGAACTTTCTGACTGAGAACTAGTAGGGTATTAATAACTGCTTTTGAAAAATTGAAATATTACATTATTCAGTCTGTTTTTAAAGGGCTAAAATGAGACCAAGTTATAGGAACAGATCCTCCACTATCAGTTCCATGAACTGGTGACCCTTTGAAATCCTGGGAATAAGAAATGTGAAAGCTCTAGGAAGAGTTGAGTGGGAATATGGTGGAGGGGAAAACATAGTGAAAGTAGGAGTTAGGAGATCTGGGATTTGTATCAGAGCCTTATTCATTCACTGTGAGACATCAAATAGGCCAATTCCTAGGCTTTAGCATTCTCTGTAAAATGATAATGTTTAAAACTCCTTGCTCTATGATTCTCCCACAGCTAAGCTGCATTTAGTCATATGACAAAAATGAGTGGTGTCATATTCACTGTGGATCATCTTCAATAGAGGCAAATACTTGACCCAAATCCAGAATTTGAAAGAAAACAAAAGAACTTTAATTGATAGTTTGAATTATATTGACACAACCCATTTTGGTAAATGTACTCCAGATATGTCTTGAGAAAATCTCATAATGGCATGCTTCTAACATATTTTTTCCTTTACTTTAGGTTGGTATAGAGGCGTTTCAACAAAGAAACCTAATGTAAAGGTAATGAAAATTCCCTTTTGCTTTTTTTTCATGTAAAGATGTTTGTGTTCTATATAAGCAACCTTCTCTTTTCAAAGTGTTGTTGGAAGCATTCTCCTGATGACTATAGTTATCATTCTGCTGACATTATTAGACCACATTCCTCTCTGAATCAACACTGCTAAGATGGTTATTTAAGGGAATGGAAAATGTCAATACGGTCACAGCTGTAGAACATGTGTATTTTTTTTCCAAAGAAAAAAACCAGTTGGTAAGTGTGACAGATCTTGCTGTGAGCAGTTTGAACCACTTAAAAATTGCAATTGACAAATTCACAGGCATGAACTTCTGAGACAATACAATTTGACAGATTTTTAAAATGGAAAAAATTTAAATAATTTTATTAAAATTATCATCTCTTCTGAGACATAGTCTCTTGAAAAAACCATGAAACCTTTTCATTTTATTTAGAAAAGTCCTCATTTCTTAACACTGTATCTTCCAAGCATGTCTATTCCATTAAGAATTAGTATGAATTTTAGCAAACAAATAGTACTTCTGAACCACTAATATAAGTGCACTGATAACCATTCCCTCATTTTACATCATAGTAAGAAGTTTCCTTCCTCTCACATTCTAACTCATCCTGCATTTTAAGTCATGGTTATTTAATTTATGGCTTTCTTGTTCAGAAGCTATTTGCCTACTGTTTGGTATAATATCCTTTTTCATTTAAAAAGAGAGCCAGATTGTTGTGTTTAATTTTTAAAAGCAAATTCTACTCAGAATTGTAACCATTAATCAGTACAACAGAATGTGTATTCTGACAATAGTTTCCAAGGGAATCGGCATGGGAAAAAATCCTTACATTTCTAATCTTTACAGCAGATTTTACCCATCATTTCTAAATTACACAATCACCTATTCATTGCTTCTCTAATTAAAGTTCACAGAGGAGAGGCATCTCTGAATAGAGAGTTAGCTTTGGAACCAGAAAGACCAGAATTCAAGTTCCTTTTCTGACACATGCAGACTATGTCCCTCTGTGTTCCAGGCAACTCTCTAAGACCTAAAGGTGCTGACCTGGATTGGTAGAGGGCATTTCCTCACCCAGGATTACTTTATACCAGTGAAATCACAGGTTCCAATTTACCCATACCCACCAAAAAAAAAAAAAAGCTAATGAAGGAACAAGTTTCTCTTAGAGATTTCATAAGTATTTGTTTGTTTTAAAAAGACAGAATAGAATGAAATTGAGTTTATTGTCAGTCAGATGATGCTTTAATTTTGCTAGTAATATTTAGCATCCTGGATTCCAGATACAATGCATAATTAGGGATTAAAGCAGGTCTTTTGTGAACATTTGAAACCGCTGTGTTTTTGTAGTTATGACCTCATGTGTACATGGTTTTGAAAACTTCTGAAAAATGAAATATTAAGCATTTTATGGTCATTGCATGTCATTTGCATGGTATTAACAATGGTGTGTTGTTATTGCCATGCCAGCTGATATATAAGCTCAAAGATGATTCTGCCGCTATATACAAATAGTTTATAGATTTAAGAAAAGGCAACAAAGATGGAGATATATGAATAGATTGACATTTAATATGAATATATGACAAAGATTTTTTTTTAGTTTTGCTTTTTTAAGTTACATTTAAAAAATAAATTCTTGTTGGTAAAGAAAATAATGCATCTGCAAAGGAGCTGAAGACTAAGGTAAGGGAAATGACGACTTAAGTAAAGGGATGAAAGTGAAAGTTTTCAGATCTAAGTAGTAAGAAATTATTTGTGAGGAGAAAAGTAAAAGTGAGAATGAAAGACTAAAGGCCTCCACTGACAGTCGAGTCCCTGAGGGAAAGAGATGAAAGTGACAGATAGTCAAGCTACTTATGGTTAAAAAAAAACATACCAAGAGAAAAGCAAACACCTCAGAAGAAAGGGAAACCTCAGCCTAGCTATCAGTGATATTATAGAAAGAAAGGAAGGAAGGAAGGAAAGAGGGAAAGAAAGAAGGAAGGAGGGAAAGATGGAAGGAAGGAGGGAAACGAAGGAAGGGAGGGAGGAAAGAAGGAAGGAAGAAAGGAAAGATTCTTCACTTCCTCAAAAGAAAGAAATTACTGAAGGACAAAAGCGAAACTGAGAGACTTAAAATGCATTACACCAGAAGAGTACACCCTTGGGTTTCATTGAGAATTAAATGAAAAGCCTTTCCATCCTTCCTCATCTGAAAGAAAGGACTAAAACTGAAGCTGATGACAGAAGAGGAGAACATTGGTGTCTGTGGCTAAAGAAGAGCCCCAGTGAAAGATCACTGAGTTGGCTAAAACGAAACAAAACACCTGTAAGTGAAGGGCATGCTTGTTGATTAAGAAGTGGCCAAATAAGTTGTGGTATATGAATGTAATGGAATCCTATTGTATTGTAAGAAACGAGGAAATTGATAATTTCAAAAAGACAAGGAAAGACATATGAACAGATGTAGAGAGAAGTAAATTGAATCAGAAGAATGATTTATACTATAATATCAATATTATAAAAATGAACAATTTTGAGGACTTTCATAAACTGATAAAGAATGAAATGAACAAAACCAGCAGAACAATTTATACCATAACAACTGATGTGTAAAAACAGACCACACTGAGAGCTGTTAGAACCATAATGAGTACAATGACCCATTCATGATTTCAGAGGACCTATGATGAAACATACTATGCATTACAGAGAGATGATGAATTTAGGGTTCAGATTAAGACATAGGGATATATACATATACAAATGCATTTATATATGTATTTGCATGCAGACATTGAGGGAACTTGACTTGACTATGCTTATTTGTGACAAGAATTTGGTTTTTTTTTAATGAGGCTAGGGGTTAGAAGGGAGAAAAATATATCTCAGTTAAGTTTTTAAAATACAGAGTTGGAGGAGGTTGGTACAGTTGTGAAATGTTATACGTATGTTCAGATGTGGTCATTGCATCATCAGTTTTACTTAACTGTTTTTCATTATTACAATAGTCCTTTCACAAAGTGGCAACAATCAACTATTTCATAATGTAAAAGCAAAAAAAAATAAATCTGTAAAACTTTTTCTAAGCTAATAAATAAAGATTAAATACTGAAAGCAAGTAAGTGAAGCAAGAGGAAAAAAAAATTTCTTAAATACAAGCTTGTAAGTACCACTTGCTTCTGCTATATAAAGAGAATTACCTAGGCTGGTTTGCTGTTTTGTAGGAGCTTATGATCTGAGATGGTTTCTTCCTGAATAATCACTGCTATTTCTTAACCTAATCTCTCCTTAAGTCTTCTGGACCCAGATTTATTAGTGCTACGTTAAAAAAAAATCCTTGGTTCTGGAGTCTATCTGGAGCACCTAGATTTGGAGAAATCCCTCAAAATATATTGAATTTCTTTGCCATTTGAGGGCCTTTGACAAAATGTTTTATGTTTTAAAACACACTGTTTTAGGAGATAAACTGCTCCCAGAAAAACAATTTCAGATAGAGAAGCTGGATTTGAATCTTAGCTCTCCTGCTTACTACCCTGAGCAAAACACTTAACCCTCCTGGGCCTCAGTTTCCTCATCTGTAAAATAATAGAATTTGACTAGATAACATTTAAGGACCCTTTTACATTTAACTCTTTAACCCTATTTTTCTAAGCCTTTTGGAGGGCCCTTGTTAATGGAAGATAAGATGGATAATCTGTTAGAGCCTTTTGTTTTCTCCCTGTGAAAATATGAACCTGTTTCCAAACCAGCCCCAATATGGCTTAGCCTCACCACTGAGTCTTGTTCCAACAAGGAAGGAATTTTCTGGAGACCTTGTCTTACTTCTCTTCTCCTTGTTTCCCTTCCCTACCCAGCCCTTTTCCTAATGCTCTTCTTTACCGACTTTGGGTCTTTCCTAATGCAAAGAAAATTTTCACTTTAGTACTAAGTAATATTCTTGCATTATTATCAAAAGTATGAAGTTTATGAAATATTGCTGAGTTTCAGCGTACTTTTTCAACTTATAAAAAGAGGAACAGTAAAAAGCATTTATGTGTATATCACCATGAGTACATTGATATTGATGAAGTACATATACAAAAATAACATTTATATGATGCTTGGTCAGAAAGCATTGGCTAAGTATCAGGGACCAGAAGACCTGTGTCCTAGGTTTTAGGTGGGATTTCTTATTGTATTTTATAGATGGAATGACAAAAATGTTTTAGATTTCTCCCTTTCCAAAACATTTGATTTAATAGAATTGAAATACCAGCAAAAACTGGTATTGTTTTTCTAATTATATGCCACCCACAGATAATGTCACATTCATATAAGTTCATTAGGAACAATAGGAACTATCTTTAGCATATACTGTTTATAAATAATTTGTTATATAAGTTAGGGGTGCTCGTTTTGTGGTTTATGGACAAATTTTTGGGTAGTTTTTCATGTGTTGTTTTTCGTTCCTGGCTATATTCAGTTCAGTATTTCTACAGCTAACACATGGCAGGTCATGTAGTAAATACCCAATATTTTTTGGGTGGATGAATAGTCTTAAAACCAGAAAGAATGTAGTCACTATTCTATCTTGAGAAAAAAAGACTTAATATGTATTCACTATTAAATGTGTTATATTGTATAATTATGTGGTCATTGCTCATTATGTGGCTGATTTAATTCTAAAGGCAAGATAAAGTGTGATGACTAAACTCCAAAAACAAATACCCTTATGGTTTCACTTCTATCTTGGTAGATATTGCTGTGTTGTACTATATTCTGTTTCAGGGATTAGAGTTGCATTTGTACCTACTTGCCACTTTATGGATACCATATTAGATAGTGGCTACATTTATCTTATGGTTATTAGTACTAAGGCAAGGAGCTGACATGATGTTCATTTTCCTTTTAAGCATGGTGTTGAATCATTTTCTTCAAACTGTTGACTATAGCCAATGCTGAATACCTTTTATTAATAAAATAGTCCTTTTTCTTGTAGTATTTCTTTGATTACTTTTATT